TATTTTGAAATTATGAAATATCACAGTTTTACTCAGTAAAGATAGTAAGTCTGCAGATAAAATCTAAAACAGGAATAGGAATACATGAATAATGATTATATGCAGCTGCACTACTGAAGATATTTATGAAATTGTTTTTATTTGTGCTTTACTAGACTGATTTACTAAACTTTCAGGTTCATAGAACATAATTGTATTGTAGCTTATACTATGTGCTGTTATTCAGGAATGTTAATAATTTGTTGCTAAGCTTTCTTCTCTCTTAGAAATCAGTAATCTATCTGAAACTCTGATTGTCTTAATAATATTCTTCTTTAATCTTTAATGATAATACATCCATTTTCTTTGTTCTTAATAAGAGTTTGTTGTAGACATACTGTTTTTTAAATCAATCTTTCTTCCTAAACAAGCACAGATCTTAATGATTAGGATTCCTTGGTGTGTTTAATACACTTTAAGTTAGCCCATTCTTTATTCTTTAGAGGAGAAAAAAAATACAGCCATGTGAGAAAGTTCTATCTGTTCCACAGCCAGATGATCCACACAGCACAGCATAAGTAGCAGTTACAAACTAAAATGAAAAGATTTTTTTCATCATGTCATTAAAAAACCTCAAACACTAGGTATCTAGTCAATGACATCCAAAATCTGGAAGGTGATAAAGCTCATATGCTGAGCACTTACAGGTTCCATGGATTCCTGCAGAACTGTCAGGTCCTCAACAAACTCCTGTCATGTCTACAGATTTCCTCACCAGTGGATTCTGTTTCCCATTTTCTTTACAATTATGAGAACAGAAAGTGGAATTAGGCTGAAAAAACTTTTCTGGTGGGAAAAAATGTGTAAAACATGGGTTTACAATTTCAAAATGTATAAACACATGGGACATAAGCCTTGAAGTTCTGTTATTGAATACAAATATTTTAGGGTAATTTTATTTGTGTTTTTTCTGGTATTTTTTTGGTTTTTTTCCAAAGTGGAATATTTGGTCCATATTTTTCTGAATTACTCCTAACACTACAGCTAAACTCCAGTGTTTGTTAATAGGCCAACAATGGGAACTAACAGAAATCTAGTGCAAGCAGCTGCTTAGTAAAGATAGACTTTAGCTTCAGGTTCTCTGGAGGTTAAGACAGATAATGAAATATGATTAAGCAAAAGAGGTTTCTTTAGTTCATTTTTAAAATATTAAAAAGAGTGAAATCAGAAAGTTCAATACATAAAAGGCTGCTTCAGAAGGGAAATAATTGGTTCCCTCTACCTGTAGCAGGTAAAATGAAAAGTTACAGGCTTAAATTAGTATTAAATCATAGTAAGAAGGATTCAACTCTAAAGGAAGCTTCACAGTGGTGGGATGCTAAAGCACTGTACTAGAGAGGGAAATGGTGGAACCTATTGCCTTCCAGCTGTGTTTTTCTGTGGTTACCTGAGAGATACCATGGAACTCATTTTGCAGCAGGACAAGAAAGACTTTCCCAAAAACTTGAGTTGAAGTAGCAGTATTTTATCTTAAATTGTAGAAAGGAATGAAATCTATCGCTTATTTGGAGTCTGTGCAATGGCATCCAAGACATTGCATGTTAGAGGGATCTACTTCACTATTTCTTTGTTCCAAGACCAAAGATTTCGTCAGGATGAGGCTTGCCAAGACACTGTCATTGATGAAGTACCATAAAGGCAGACTCAGTCTAATTTCAGTGGGGGGGGGGAATTCTTCTCTGTATAATTTATTTTATAGCTTTCCTCAAAAGTACAAGACCAAGAGAATTTTTTTGCTTTCATTCTCCTTCTCACACTGTTTCTTTTCCTCTTTGCTGTTTTGCTATATATTCTGGGCTTTAAGTTAAGCTTCTCTTCTATAGTTCACAGCATTTGGACTATGAACAATAAAATCTGAGGTGCATATTTCAGATATCTGGTAGTCCTAGCCAAGGTCCTTCAAAAGTTTTTATTCTTCTTGCAGAAAACTGCAGAACCAGATTTTCTGTCTTTTTCTTGTTTCATAATTCTTTCTCATAAGGACAGAGTAAAGAATTCTGTAACACTGAATGCTACTAGCTCTCAAACATTCACCTGAGGTCGATTTGTCTGAATTTTCAAAAAGAAACTTACTTTTAGAGTGTCATCTGACTTTCCAGTATGTTGGCTGTGTCTTCTATGCTATTTTGAAGGCTGAGGGAAGACCCAGGTGGTCTACTTCTTTTGTTCAATGATTGGGGGTGGCTTTCAGGCATCCTGTACTTACCTTGCATGTAAGACTTTTCAATAGAGAAAGGCTATACTGTCCTCTCCTGCTGTTTCTGAGCCAACTCTCTTTTCCTTTTCTGCCAAGTGTGTCTGCAGTGGCACTCTGCTAGATTCCTGTTTGTTCTCCCTGCCCTACTTCTCCCATGAGCAGTAGTCCCCAAGATATTTTTTCTGTCTCTATTAAAATCTTTGCTAATTGAGATATCTGAAAGTTTAACTTCTGGCAAGTTTTCTTACTTGCAACCCCCTACTTCTGACTTCTTCAGTTATGCTGCAGTGAGGATAGTTTTGTGTGGTGATAGGTGAGCTCCCAAGCTTATCAAGCAATTTTGTCTGCCCTTAGCACCTGAGAGCTTCATAAAAAGCCCTGGTCTGTGTCTGCATACCAAGTTCTTGCTGAGAAGGTGGCAAGAAGGTGGCACCATTTTACATAACTGTGACATGCTACTCAAAACTATTTTTCTTCCCTTACTATTTGTTTTGAAATCATTGCCTTGAGAAGATGAATATAAAAATAACCCCATTATTAAATGTACTCATTGTAAATATTAATGCGAAGAGACTGTACATACTATGCTGGAATCAATCCACTCTGTGTCAGACATTTATTTCTTAGTTCCATGATCTTGTTTCTGCCTAGTACATTGCTCTTGCCAACATTCAGGCTCTGTCTGGCCTTTCAGAGCTATCTTCCAATAATGTAGGGAAGAACAGGCTTCATCTGCAAAGTGGCACATAAACAAAGTTATTTCTGTATTTACCCAAATCTTGCACACACTTAATGTACACAAGCTCTTCCTTAAAACTGCAAAGTGTAAGAAGGTATGAATATATAACATTGTATGTAGGTACTGATTGTAGCAATTCATTTATATTGTAAATAAACACATTTTCCCATCTATTAAACAAAATTTCCTTATTCTGAATGGTTCCTGTATACAGAGATAGTGTGAAGATGAAGGACTTCAGCCTGGATCTTAATCCTGTCTATCCTCCCTATCCTGTTGTATTTCCCTGTTTTGTGGAGCTCACAAACAGATTGTGGGTTTGATCCCTGCGGGCCATTCATTTAAGGGTTGGATTTGATGATCCCTGTGGGTCCCTTCCAACTCAGAGTATTCAGTGATTTTGTGATTCTGTGGTTGTTGAATTTGTGTGTGAACTGCACAGGTAAATGTGTGTTTAAGGTAAACATGTTTAAATTAGAAATATCTCACCTCATAACCTGAAGATTTCCACAATCTTTAATTCCAGTTTGATCTTTTACTTACACTGAGCCAATGTTCACCTATAAAGCACATTCGGTGTTAGTAAAGTGAACCTTAATAATAAGTTAATTCAAAGTGATCATCTTCACTGTGTTCATAAAAGGGGAGTGCACCACAACAGTGGTTAACCTGTTGTAAAACTAACATGGTGGATTTGTCAAGATAAATATAAAACCGGAAATAGACACATAGGTTGGTGTTAGGCTGCATATAAACAGTGTACATACAAGCAGGTAAAAACCCAGAAATGTTGTATGAGGCAGAGATCCTGCAAAACACTATGAGGTGTGGTGGTGGATACCGTTCATTAATGTAATGATTCAGAATCCGTGAATTGTGGTGTGATATGTTTGAAAGAGGTGGCTGAATCAATTTTGATTTATTTTTTTTTTTTGTTAAAGAACAGAAGATCAGATTTATGTGGTTGCAAATATTTTGTTACTGGGGGGAGTGAAACTGCAGCAATACATTTTAACTGAATCTTTTAGATTGGCAATATATGTACCTTTCATTCTAGTGAGCACTTCCAGCCCTCAGAGGAAAAGAGAGGAAAAGACATTTTTAAAGCTGTATCAGTGTCCTCACTTCCTCAAAAGTCTATCACTGTTTTCTGTATAGTCTTGATTTTGAGAATACATAGAAACATGATAACTGCAGCTACTTTTTAATGGAATGTTGTCTCAAGAGGACAGCAGGTTTCAGAGGGCTTGTCCAAGGGTTCTTAAGATAGTGGCTTTAATCCATAAAGCTTTCAGTAATTTGGACCTCACACTTCTACACAAGTGCATGCACAATTAAGCACATAAGCATTTGGCATTAAGTCCATCTTGATTTTAAAAGACAGTTCCTCTTATCAGAGAGTTTTCTCTAAGTGAAGGCAGACTCTGCTACTTTACTATCTCCTTGAAACCTGTTTTGCCTGTAAGTATGTGATTTTGATATTATTCTCAAAAAGCTGAATGTCTCCCTACCCTCTCTTTCATGTTCTTTGAGAGACAATAACAATTTAGTGTAAATGCGTGAGCTATTGTGGATTTGTTATTGTAGATGGTGAATATTATTATGTGCCCTGTGAGCAGTCAATTGTATGTGGCATATATTGCAGATTTATATCTTGTCTGCTTAAAACACTATGTGAAATGCCTAGAGACAGGGTTAGCTGCTTAAGTTGTAGCTTCAAATAAATAAATAAATACATTAAATAAATAATTGAAGCAGGCAGTTTCAGATAATAAAGAGAGATGGCTTCTGGGTAGAAAACTCTGTAAGTCTTACAGCAACAGAATCTTTAATAAAGAAGGTGAAATAAAATTCCCAAATAATTTCTTATCTGCAGATAAAATAAAAAACTCCAAGCACCCAAACTAGCAGGACATATACTTGGTGAATTAGAATCTTCTTTATGTGTGGTATACAACTAATTACTAGGGAGCATTTTCTTTATCTCTAATTTCTATTTAATAGCCACTGCACTTGTCATTGCAGGTATGGTTACAAAAGTATGGCTACCTTCCACCAAGTGACCCCCGAATGTCGGTGTTGCGCTCTGCAGAAACCATGCAATCAGCTATAGCTGCCATGCAGCAGTTCTATGGCATTAATATGACAGGAAAAGTGGACAGGAACACAATTGAGTAAGTAACCAGTACTGAACTGCTCTTGACTTTTCTGTTTCAAGCAGGGTAAAATAGAACTGGGAAGCAGCAGCATAACTGGAGTATCCAAATAGTGTTGCAGCTTCAGATGGGGAGGAAAATCGTTTCTCTCTTCCTTGCCTTTTCATTTTCTTCAGCTTTTTTATTTCGTGGTAGCAGGTCATCACCTGCCTAACTGATGTCTGCCTTTGGGCAAGTGATTGTAAACAAGATATCACAGGGTTACCTAAAGTAAGGACCAAAAGGTCATCATTGTGGAAGGGAGAAAACATATTTGAAACTGGCAAGAATCTGTGAAATGAATAACAGTTGAAGGAGTCCTGTTTTACTAGAAAATCTTTAGTGTAAATTTCTTTATTCTTATTTATTCAATTTGGCAGACTCTACTGGCCCATTTGTTTTCTAATGGTTTCTAGTTACAAAAAACAGGTGTGGTGATTTTAACATGCAGTAAAATTGAATTAGTTTTGCATGCCCTTTGCGATTCTGAAGTTGTTTCAGGCTCTGTGTCTGATTTTGGTGACAGAATGGACACAGAGAAACTCTGTGAAAGAGCTATTACAGGACACTTTCAAACAACTCTGTACTATGCCAAATTTTAAAAATGTCCCAAAAAAAAACCCCAAAACAAAAAACCAGGGACTATTAATACACAATTAAGAGAACATATCTGGGATTAAGACAGCAGGACCAGGGCAGTGATTATGCCCCTGTACTTCACGCTGGTGTGGCCTATCCTTGAATCTCCCATTCTATTTTGGGCCCTTCACTGCAAGAAGGACATTGAGGTGCTGGAGTATGTCCAGAGGAGGGTAACATGGCTGAGGAATGGTCTGGAGCATGAATCCTGTGAGGAGCAGCTGTGGGAATTGTGGCTGTTTAACTTAAAAAAAGGGGCTCAGGGATATGTTACCACTCTCTATAGCTACCTGAAAGGAGGTTGTAGCCAGGCAGGGGTCAGCCCCTTCTCCCAAGTAAAAAGTGACCTGACAAGGCTCAAGTTGCACCAGGGGAGGTTTAGATGGATATTAGGAAACAGTTCTTCACCTACAGAGTTGTCAAGCATTGAAACAGGCTGCCCAGGAAAGTGTCGATGTGGCACTTAGGGGCATGGTTTGATGGTGGATTTGGCAGTGCCATGATAATGGTTGGAATCAATGATGGTAGAGGTCTTTTCAAATTTAAACTATTCTCTGATTTGGAGTGCTTGTTGGACTCATTTCAGTTAAATTGTGATAAAGGTTATCTTGTGATTTCAGAAAAAGTTACTTTGCTTGAAAAGCAAGCAATAATTCAATAGTGCTGTCATTGCATATCCAACACTTGCTTCAGTGAAATATGCTTCTACTGCTCTAAAATCCTTATTGGAGGAGGGGGGGGAACTGTCCTTTATTTCCCATTTACCACCCCCAACCTGATGTGTCATCTTTTGTTATTCTTTTATGGTAAAGTAGATGACATTAATGATCTTTCTATCATTTAGAGTTTAGGGAAGAGACTACACAAAATGCTGGCAGGATTGGAAAAATCATTTTATTCCACTGACACATACTCCATTGCATTGAAAAGCAATAAAACAAAGCAGATTTTGTGGCTGCCCTCAGGGGAGGTGAGTTGATCACGCTTCTCTCAGTTTAGGAATTTAAAGGACCACAGACCATGCAGTGCAATAGCAGTAAATGCCTTGTGAGAGAGCCATGCTCAAAGTAAGTTTATGGTCCTCTGCAGGGTGAGGAGTCTGTGCTCTTCATAGAGCTTCAGTGACTGATCTTTGAGGAGAGAGTGCTGCCAGTAATAACCAGGACCCTTTTCAAGACACGTTAGTAGCAGCTTTGTCAGAGACAATGTATTTCACTAAAATAGTCTGTTCACAGGAGCACAAAAGAGACAGAAAGGGGTAACCTGAGGGAAAGCAGAGGCCATCTCAATTTATAGTATGAGCTGGAGAATTGAAAAAAAAAAAACAAAAAAACCCAAAATTCTAAACTCAAATGGAGATGGTTAATGTTGCTAATTTGGCATTTTGTCCAGCAAGATTTTCTACACTTCTGCAATTTAAGAGAGGAAGAAATCCATCTGTGCAGCAATCCAAAATATTAATCTTGTAAAGTGGTGAATATTGAGTCTTTCAGATCTTTTGATGCATGATTTTCTTCTACACAGAAAGATACATTAATATATTGCAGTTCTTAGATACATGTAACTCATGCTGGAGGAATGCTGCATTTACTTAGATATTTGGAGTCACACTTACTTGAGTCAAGTTAGGAACAGAACTGACTCTTAAAGGCTTGTCACACTTACATTGGTGTTGAAAAAGCAAAGCAATAAAAACCTGATTTTTAACTAAATTCTCGCCTCAAGGTACCATCAGTTCACATCACTGAATATTCATGGTGATATGACTGCATAATAAAGGGTAGATTGTTTTTCGGTTGTTCATTTGTGGCATTATTTTGTAAATTTTTGAATTTTTTTTCCCTTTCATTTACACAGAAAGTATATATACTCTTTAGGTCAGAAATATGTGGCAGTTTGTAATTTGTTTCTTTGGGATTAATATGCTGTAATAATTAACAATGCTGATGTTCCAAATACTAAATAAAGCAGGAACCTCATTAAAAATATGTTCTCATCTTATGCAAGAGGATTTACCTGCTTCTTTGACACATCTTGAGAAGAGATTATGATGTGCCTCTTTGTCTTCAGAAGGACAAACAATTTAAAAAGTTATAGTAGCAACTTCATAGGAACTAACTTTGGTGGAATTAACAAAGAAATAATGTCCTACAGCATCAGCACCATCAAATGTCTCCTGGGGGGATTTTGCTGCTCTGAAAAAAAGATAATCCCTCAATGAGTATTTTGGTATGCATAAATATGAACAGTGTTCATCCTCTCCCTACTACTCAGCATTCACTTGGTTTTGCTATTTTTTTTTTCTCAAGTGTCTTGGAAAGAATGATACATGCTCTCCAATGATACTCACTACTCACTCTTCCAGGGAAGAGTGAGTGGTAGGAAGAGACATCCTTATAATGGTGTAGAAATGTGGGGGAGGTTCTGAATGCAAGTACCATGAGAATGGCTAACCCAATGAAAACACTGTCTAATGTTTGCATGGAGTGCCACAGTATTTTCTGTGTGTCATTTATATATTACCAAACACAGTCAATGTTTCATGAAAAAAAAGACAGTTCTAAAACTGGACCCACTGTCTTGGCATCCCTAAAAGAAACATTGTAGAAAAAGACTAGTTGTTGTCTTCTCTTAAAACTGCTATACATATTCCCAAGACTTGTTTTGCACTTTCGAGGAGTACACTGCAAACTTCCTGATATACAGGTGCAATGGTCATGTATCGGATACTGACTAAATCTGTGCAATAATAACGAAGCTTTCATTTTATTCTAATGTCATCCTTTTAAAATAAGTGGCAAAAATGCTTATTTCAATGCTTAGATGAACTTCTAACCATGCTCTCTGCTGTTTATATATTAACTTTCAGTCACAAAGTAAATTCTGAGCTGTTGGAATTGATCCAGTGGTTTATTTTCTTAGTATATTAGTAATTTTTTTTGTACAAAAGTGTACATAAGGTCGGTATCCCCAGCAAATATCCAATGAGAAGTCTTAAAAAAGGAATCACCAGGGCTGAAATACAATATCTTACATCACTCTTTGACTGTCTCTTTTTACTTACCAAGTGTCAGTAAATCCTGTAATAGCAGACTACATAAGTAAAGATGCTTTGAAAGACATTCATAGGGATGTCTTCTCCTCACTACAAGTTTAAGGGTATAATTCAGTAGTTTTCTTAAAGAGACATCTATAATTTGTCCAACCACTAAGTTGAGTTGCAGTAACTCAAGCTGAACCTTCTCTTTTAGTTTCCTTTTTTGCTATAACTCTGTCCCAAATAACCCCCAAAGCCCAACAACAACAGAACAATTGTGCAACCTTAGCAGCAATTTTGATAAGGGATAAAGCAGTTTGGGCCTTCAACCAAATTTATAATTTTTAATTGTCTCATTCTGTGAGGGTAAATTTTTTTCTTGAAGGCTTAAGAAAAATAAGAGACAGAAAGAGATTTATCCTCCTAGAAAACAAAAACAAAATATGGTTAGGCAAGTGTTTTGAGATAGAAGTTCAGTTTCATCTCTCTACTGGAAGAGCATCACAGTTTTGCTGCATATTTTTCTTTTAATCTTTCTAGATTTGCTGTGAGTCTAAAATATTTAAATTTTCTTGACATATATAGTTCCTTAAGATTCAAACTAATGGAGTTAGAAGAGGAATGTGATGTGACACAGTGTACAGATAGAGAACATTAGTCACAATTAAGCCTCTTTATTGAGTACTTATAAAATATTAATTTTGAAGGGCTGCTGCAGAAAAGATTTCTCAAAGTTCAAAAACAAAGTGATGAAAGAGAGGCAAAATCATTACTTGTATACACCTTTTAAAAATGAAGCATATTTCAAAACATTTCAAAAACATGTCAAAAAATTAAACTCCAACAAACAATCAGGAACATGGAAGACCTTGATCATATCACGTTAGAAGAATCTATATTTGGAAGAACATAGAAATCAATGTTTTATTTGTCAATTCCCCCAAGGGAAGACCATATTATGTGCTAAGTATCTGGAATGTCATGAGCATTAATGATAATTACTAAGAGAAGTCTTCCTCCCAATGTGTGTCAGAACAATTACTGTTGAAAAATAAATTAAAATTTTATAGAAATCTAAGGAAAATTTATCTGTCTGAAGTTGTTAGTATTTTGCCTCATTTCTGTGCTTGAAAATACTGAGGTCCCATACTAGGCATGCACTGGTTTGTTTAAAATTTGACATCTAAACTTAGCTCAGCTAAGATCTAGGTGATAGATTTGGTGATGTACCAAATCTTCAGCTGCAAATTGCATCTTTCCTTAAATTTTACATGAAGATAATTTCCCAAAAGCTACTGAACCATGCCTGCAATGACTTCCATTTGATTTATATTTGGATTTATGTTGTGTGAACTACAGTCCCAGACCTCATGTAACAATAGTAAGAACATTAGTGGTCCAGACAGCGCGACAACTTGGAACATCCCTTCTCTGTCCAAGCCAATAAGGGTACAAACATGATGTCCTTGATAGGTACACACTACTTCAAAATCAGTACAGGAAAAAATTGTGACTGCTTGAATTTCATAACATGTTATTTTGGGCCACATTTTGTTTTGTTAAAAAAGGATTGTCAGTAGTTCTAGTAAGATAATACAATGTTGACTTTTGAATCCACATTACCTACTGTTCTTGACATTTAGTATTAGTTCTAAACTGTGAAAAAATTTTTACATTAACACGATTTTCTGTAAGATTATTGAATCTTTTGGCTTGAAAAATTTTTTCAATAGCTTTGAAGATGAATTTTTAAATTCAGAACTTAGAATATTTACTCTTATCTGCTCCTAGCTTGCTAGTGAGCAAACCCTGTTATTAAAATAGGTCTCCATCAGTTAAGCTAAGTAATGTAAGTTTTTTGGAGAAGGGAAAGGGCTAATTCAATGACTTTTAAGTCATTGCCCTTGAAATGATACAACTATGAGTGATATATGTATATGTATATTTTATGCAATATCTTTGTGCAGTGTTTCTAACAAAATATAATAGTTATTTGGTTTTGCTTTATTCCTTGCTTCTTGCTCTTGATGTAGGGATATCACCTTAAGGTGAGAACACCAATCTTTGTTAAGTTTGCATCTTTTCCTGCAATGTCTGTGTGCAGTTTCAACAACATAATTTATAATACCCTTATTAAAAAGTATTATTAACAATGTGTCTAAAAGTTTTTGAAGGTCTGAGCTAATTTCAATCTCATGAAGTGTAAACATATCATTTTAATAAAAGAATATTATTGCCCTTTGGTCTGTAACAGAGGTCTACTTCTTTCCTTCATTTTCTTTCATAATTAGAGCAAATTAAACTTTTCAGTAATATTTCACCCCAAAAATCCCTAATGTCTACTTTGCTGCATTCTTATTTTATTTCAAAAATCAAAGGAACCTGAAGTAAAATTTCAGGGCATTTCAGCAAATGCTGGTGGGATAAGGGTTTTTAGATTTTTGCAGTACAGTCTTTGCAGGCACTAGGGAAAAACATTGTTTTCCTTGTAGATCAGCTATTTTATGTGCCATGCATAAGTATTCTGAATAGAAATTATAACATATTAGAAACAGGCGATTGTGAACTTGATGTCTCCAGTTAAGGCAGTTAAATCCATGAGTTTTTAGTTCTTGACCAATACTACTTAATAGATTTGTCTCACATCAGTTTTTGTTGGCTCTTATCAGTGCCAGTGGGGTGCAGTCCCATCTTGGTACTATCAAGAAAATTTTCCCACAGGCTGGTGAGCTTAACAACTACTTGTGCCTTTGAAAAACAGTTTGCTATATACCCATAGCTTCTGCATATATGAAGTGTTACAAGTATGAGTGTACTTTTAAACTACTTCTTACACATTTATCAAAATAAGTGAGGCTGATGATTGACTATTTGCTTTTTTGGAGTTTTTTTATTACCTGTGCATGTTTCAAAGGGAATCCACTTTCTGAGATGACATTTGAAATTACTCTCCTGTCATTCAATCACACATATATACAGCTGCTGTGTGTACATTTATTTACAAAACAATACCAGTTTAATGATCAGAAGTTTGTCCATGAAAGCCTGAAAATAGGGTATGACTATTCTTCTGTTAAATGCCATTGGAAAACTATAGCTTTTACATAAGTAATTGTTTGGCATGATAGAAATACATTAAGCTGGAAAAAGTAACAGGAGATTTGTCTTTTACTTATACAGTAAAAGACTTTAGCCTTACTCTCTTCCTGATGGTAAATTGTCCTGCAGTCATTCAACTATAAAATAATGACTTTATAGCTGTATTTTCTTTGAACTGAATAGTGTCTTACACTACAAGTGAGAAACAGTTCAAGAATATTACTGTGGAAATTATACTTTTGAATTAGATATTATCTTAATTATAATATGTTTGAAATGCTGGCTAGTTTCATTTTTCTTTAAATATTGGAAAACAATGAAATATTGAAGAGCATTGTAGAAATACAGCTTTATCTGGGAAATCTGCTGCTGCTGAAATCATCTTTTTTATTGCAAGAGATTTAGATTTTTCAGCTTGATTTTGTGCAGAACATTAAATATTCTGAAGAAATAATTCCTGAGTTAAATATCTCCATTAGGAGCTTACAGTTGCAATGAGATACTTCTCATTGTGTGGAAAAAGAGTAAGATAGAAGAACTTGGTAGTATCAAAAAGGTAGCAATTTCAGTATCTTGAATTAAAAGAATGCCAACAGTCTTTTGTATTTATTAGTTTACTATGCTCTATAAATTATATATACAGATAATGTATAATGCATGTTTTTATTAGGGATGCAGTGGCTATGATTTTTCTTCCATGTTGCTTTAAATGTGTGGTGCTGTTTCTTGCAGCTGGATGAAGAAACCTCGATGTGGTGTGCCTGACCAAACAAGAGGTAGCTCCAAATTTAACATTCGTCGGAAACGCTACGCGTTAACAGGACAGAAATGGCAGCACAAACATATCACTTACAGGTACCAAAGATATCCCTGTAGGTAGACAAATGTCACTAACAGTGATGACTTTCCATCTAGAGTAAATATAAATTCCTGAATGGTTTTCAATACTTTGAGAAGTTTATTATTACTGTATGATATTAAAGTGCTATAATGGATACCTCCTATAAAGTATGTATGTGCTGCATAAGAACTAAGTTGTTTTCTTGGATTAAAATTGCGTGTATTTAGTAGCCAGTAAATTCTGCAAAGCTTACAGCATAAATTAAACATCCAGTACTTCCTTAGGGTTACCTTTCAACTTTCTTGGGAACTGCTCAGGGAATAATGCTCTGAATCTAGGAGTATGTAATGAAACTCAGATTTCTAATTTAAATATGTAAAATAGGGTATTGAAAGGAGTCAGTCTCTGCAAAATGTAGGTGCCTATGGGTCTGTTCTAAGTATAAATTAATTTGATTATAATTTGATGAGTCACTGACCCAACCATTTCCAGTCTAGGTGATGATGGGCATAGGAGTGTGTGCAGGGCAGTACATCTGTATAACTCCTGAGTCTGGCTCATAGTTAGCACTGTGTGCCTGCTGTCAAAACTGAGGCTTTGAAGGGAAAGTTAGAGGGAAACTTTCAAGATGTACTCGCTAGAGCTCTGCCAACCAGAGAAAGTGTCATCATGTATATAATATAAAATCCATAATCTATCAGCAAACCAAGGATTTCAATACAAACTGTTGGAAAATTTACACAGCCTCATCATGGATTCCTGTAATATCTAACAGGGGTAAGTTCTGAGGGATAAAATAGTTTTCAAATTCATTATCTGGTGCCATTATTCATGAACCCATACAAGTATTAAATTTACAGTTCATAAGCCATAATTGTCATATAGATTGTTCCTCATACCCTGGTGAAGGTATAGTTTCATTGGTAACCCTATGTCACTACTGTGGTTTACAACTGAATTAGAGAATTCTAGTGTAAGACATTACATTTTGATATAACATTAGCCAATAGACAGCTTGGGGTTGGTATGTTGCATTGGCTGAAGTCCTTTATTGTTAATGTAAATGTAATTTATAGTTGGTTAGAATAAAAATGCCCACCTACAGCACTTTATATCTATTTGCATTTCAGAATTTAAATGCAGTGTGTGCATAATTAGGAGGCATCTACTCATATGTGTGGTTTTCTACCACTCTGATTTGTACAGAGTCTGGTTCCCTATTTCATTACAGGATTTTTTACAACAGTCTAAATCCTAGCCCTTGTATATTTTCTGGAGTGTCACCCAAGGCATTAAACCAAATAACAAATGAAGGTGTCCAGTATTAAACTAAGTGACAACTATCTAGTAATCTTTCTCACTTTGAAGAATTTATAGCAGTTCTTTATCTCCTGCCTCCCCTCTTTGAAAAAGCTCTCTCTCTCACTTTGATAAGACCTCCAGTCAAACAGAGCTTTGAAGTGAATAAGTCTGTAATATTTTTTGCAGTGAATTACAGTACAAAATATATATAAAATAGAAACCCTAAATTTGATTAGAATTAAAAAAAAAAGGTGTTATATTATCTTTTTGAACTAGAAAATAACCCAAAGGAAATAAAGACCAAAAAAAAAAAAAAGAACTGAGATTCTTTTCACACTTCTCACCAATTCCCTGCTTACAGGCTTAGGACATATTAAATTAATGACATTTAACCTGCTTTGTTTCCTAAAATTTTAATCATATGTCTAGTTTCATTTCTCCATTTTTCTGTGCCATTCCTCAGTCTCTTTATAACTTGCAGGTTTCCAGCTGCATTCTGTGCCTTCCTGGCCAGTTGAACCTTGCAGTCTGAAGTGTGCTTGCTAACCCAGTTTACTAATTCCTCCACAGAAAGAGCAATTTCTCCTTCATTTCAGTGCATGCTACAGCTTACAATTTTTTGGAAACCAAAACCAAAACCCTACAACAAATATTCCCAAAAGCAAGCTCCACCATTCCTTGCCCTGGAACATTTCCATATTTTCAATGTGTAGTTTTTCCACCTGAAACAGTTCTGCAATATTTCAAGATGGAGTTCCAAAGAAGCGACTTAAAATTATAATTATAATTAGTTACATTCATAATGTATTTTTTCCCCATATTAAATTTTGAACATTTATTATGTCCTTTTCACAACATATTAAATTTTGGACTTAGGTGATATTTATTCTTAGAATGTAATGTGTTTACAGACAGAACCAAAATACAGATTTCCAGCATTGGAAACATCCGCATGGAATGTGCAATGGGCTGCATTAATTATGCTTACTCTCCCTCAGGGAATGCATCTTTCTTCTCATTTGAACTGATGTGTGATGTTTGTTAGAATTTCTGTTTCTGATGAAATTACCCAGTTTACAGTATTTTTCTGCCTGGTATAGTTCATACTGATAAACCTTGTGAACATTATTAGTACACATGCTATAGAATAACACCCCTTTTACAAATAAACATAAACTATTTGAAACTTTTTACCAGACAGAAGAGTATAGGGGTGAAAGAGAACATCTAGGGTACAAGAAAATTACAACTCCATTACAGAAAAAGCTGCAAAGATCTTAATGATATAGTCCCAATCTTCCTTAGTATTTTAGGCTGTATGAGGTTACACAACGATCTCTGAACATTATACAGAATCAGAGAAGAAATTTAAGAAAGCTATGAATGGATTTTTAAAAATTAAAGTTTTTTTTTAAAAATTTAAGGGGTATTTATGAAGGCACATATGATTCTCAAAAATATAGTCACCTTCTCTTTAGCTAGAAAAGTAAATAATCCAGTAATTTAAAGAAGGAGCAACAATGTGAATCAATAAAGTTTTCACTTTTGTAAAAATAGAGTATAAATATTTATATGTCAAATTTAGATAGAGAAATATTGAATTTGAAGCACTTCTCATCAGAATTCTGTGCATAATATTCATAATCTGAACTCCAGCAGTCAGTAATTTCTCAACTGCCCAGATTATTCTATCTGCAAAATACTTTTGCAAGTAAAATTGGAGAATATTCTGTAAAAATAAAAGATTTGTCTTGATTTATAACCATGAGTTAGAACTTGTAATGATTTAAAATAAAATAATAATTGAAGATCTACCCTGATTTGTTTTTTCTTGTTTAAGTAAGGAAAAAACAATTTTAATCAATCAGCAATATGTAATAAATTTAATTGGTGCAGGAAACTTAGCTGTAGATAGTCAATAGCTTCATCCCAAACCCACTATAAATAATTTCATCTTTTTCTTGACTTCAGTGGACAATGGGTCAAGCCCCAGATAATTGTCATTTTTCTTTTACAAATTAGATATATCCTAGATTTCATTTCTGAAAGAAAATGAAAGATTTGAATGGGTCTAACTTTATGCTGTTCAGATAAATGAATGAATGCTAGCTGGGAGCTTCAGTATGCAATGAAAAGTCTTATCTGGCTTTTAAGCAATAGACTATGCAATTTCTATAGTCTAAATGGTCCATATTGTGTAGAATATGGAGAGATAATTTCTTCTTGGATATTTGAAATACACTGTAAAAATAAGGAAATACTGGATTAGGAAAAACTTTGAAAATACTGTTGATTCATAGTAGCAATTTTTTTTAATGTATTAATATAAAGTAATATTTAGAACCCGTTCCATGTTTATGTTGCATGTTACTGATTTTAGATTACCTAGTAGCATATTATGACATCAGATTTCTCAAAACAGCTTTCCTATAAAAACATTTGGCCATCAAGTATTTTACTAATCTTGGGTTTTTGTCTCAGAAATATCTTCTCTTTCACATTTCATCTTCTTTTAATGAATGTTGAGGAGAATGAAATGAAATGAAGAGACAAGATAATTATAAATTCTTTCAATCATGGCAGCAGTGGGTAGAAAATCAAACCCACAGAAAGTCAAAAGTGGTAGTTCTGGTTTAGGTTTAATCAACATGAGCAAGAGCCATAGGAACCAAGATAGCACTCTTCTTGGTCTATAGCTACAAAGAGTCAGCAAACTGAAACTGGAAAAAAGTTGAAGCTAAAAAAACCTTACATGAGAGATTAGTGAAGCAACTTCATAGAAACAAATTTCCAGAGAAATTACGGTGCAAAGTGAAATATGTTTTTGGCCAGAGGTAATTTATTGCTTTCAATAAAAGTTATAGTCTGATTAAAAAACAACCAACCAACAAAAAAACCAAACAAACAAACAAAAAAAAAACAAAAACAAAAAACCCATGAAAACAACAAACAAACCTTCAAAGTTTTGCTTCAGTTTAGGTTTGATTTACATCAATGACAATAGAAAGGTTGTGTCAACAACTTATTCAAATTTAATATATGTTTCAATTCATTTTTCTTAAACAGTTTCATATCGGGCACAGATCTTAACTAGCTTACTTCAAACAGATTATTGACTGCATCTTTTTACCTACTCAGTTGAAACTCCTGCTCTTTCATCTATTTAAATTTCAAATTACTGCTTTTACACTGTCAAGTGAGGTATATCCTGACAATCTTGCAAGGCTCCTGAAGCTGTTGCAGCCAAAAATATGCCAGTGAAACATGTATAATTTTTCTTTTGGGATATTCTGGGAAAGTAGTGGGAAGGGAAGGAAAACCCAAAGCTTTTCTGAAATCAATAGGACTCAGGATTCTAGAATAACACTCTCAAAACAAGACTCTTCAGGCAGGTGCAGAAATAGTACACAAACGTGAAAAGTGCATATCAGTGATAAAATCTAATTGTTCTTGTGGAAGACATGTATTTTAAAGTTAAAATGCTTGATGAGCTATCAGGTTGAAAATCATGCAAAACCAGCAATGATAACCACAAAAAAGCATAATCAATTGATACATGGCTGTGGTTGTCTAAAAATAACAGCTCTCAAAATTTATAAAAAGTATCTCTCAGTTTATTAGTTGTTAAAAAATGGCATGAAAATAAATGTTTCATCTTAGAAATTGCCTTTTTTTAGTAATTACAGGATCCTCAACCTCTTTGTATAGTTGCACTGCCAGTCTGGTCAAGGTCAGCTTTAGATCTTTCTCTCATTTGAACTTTGCTTTGAAATGATCACTAGACATTGAGGCTAGGAAAACAATACTTAGAAAAAAGATGGATTTTTATTATAAAGGGCTTTGTCTTGCTGTGTTTTCACCTTGCAATAAGAGTGGTTCTGAATTGTCACGTCCTACACTTACTTCTATTTGAGTTCCATTATCTGGACATGATGAGTGTAAGATACCCAATTCCTGTCTTTTTTGTTTTACTCCTGTGGGAGTTACCACTATTTCAGGTGATTGCTGGATTTAAGTTGTGGATCTAAATAGGAAAGGGTTCATATGAGTCATTATTTGATATTGCATCATAGGTCTAAACTGAAGACTTTTAAAAGATGAATCCTTGTATCTCTGGTAATTGATAGACTGTCATTACGAATTGACTTTATTGTACTTCCCCCTTGGAGGTTGTATGATAAACAACATCAAAGAAATGTAAGATAATTTGGGTTTCAGATATCTGCACTGGTGAATTATTTTAAGCAAGTTCCCAGCAAGACAATTTCAATGTTTGTGTCACTCTTTTAGGATTGAACCTGGGTTGTGTTTAACACATTAAAAGTAGACAGTTGTTTCCTGTAAATACTCTTGTATAGGAATAACTGCTGATTTATGTAATTTCTCTTTCAAACTACACTTTTCAGTACAATCTTGCCCACTCCAGAATGTTGGTTTGGAAGCCAGAAATCTCTCTGGTTTTAATTCACACTAATCATTACTCAATTTAACACTAATACAAAATTCCAATCCATTTTTATCCATTTCCTCATTTCACATATGATAGCAGAAGACCCTTCTTCTGTTTACTTAATACCAAAATGGGACTTTGACTAATTACTAAGATTCCTAAATACCAAAAAACAAAAAACAAAAAACAAACAAACAAACAAAAAAACCAAAAAAAAAAACCAAAAAAAAAAAAAAACAAACAAAAAAAAAAAACCAAAATCAAATAAGGAAACAAATAGATAAAAAAAACCCAAAGCCTTAGCTGTATATTTCAGATGAACTTTTTCTATATCAATATTTCAGTTTTTCTAGACATGCTCTATTTTCTATGGGAGCCTGTTGATTCATTTGCCATATTTCTTATACATGGCAAATAACAGAGGTCCTTCACAGAGCTCTGCTTCAGGCAATACACGTGCCTTAGGGAGCACACAGCAGGACTGATTGGGAGCACATCTGCTACCTTCGTAAGGGATATTCTTAGCATAGCAACAGTAAAGTTTTTGGTAGTAGCAGTATAAGTGTGCCACTGTGATGTGGTTTTGATTTTGTGTCACAGGACACATTCCAAAATGCTGTACTTTCTCAGGGGGCACAGACAGCATTTTATGAACTTGCTAATTAAAATGTCTCCAAAAATCCTGATTCTCAAAGGCAGGAGCTTTCAGAGAGGGTTCTGCAAGGGCTGATTGTTGGTACAGTGTGTCCAATATGTTTTTAATCACAGAAAATACAATGCAACTCTGACCATAAATTTACTGATGACCAAATAATTATGAAGGGGCATGATAGAAACACTTTAAATGACATGACATTTACATCATGTAGAGTAAGGTCATGTGTACAGATCAGACGGTATTTTCTCTCTGACAGCAAGATCAGTACTGCAGTACTTTATAGTTCTGACAGAGCCAGTTTTAGAAGAGCATTAGAAATTGGTTAAGTTGAATAAAAATCGCTAGAAAATATTCAATTGACTGGAGAAAATATCTTATAACCTGAGATTTAAATAGTTCAAAATTTTAATTTCTTAGAGACAACAAAAAGATAATGACTTTGCAGTGCAGAAATGTCTTTTACATGTCTTTGTGTGTAGGGGGAAAATTTTTCAAGCTCATGTATGTGAGAGAGAAAAACAGAAAGAGAACCAATAATATAAACCAGGCAATTAATAGAATAGGCAAAAGTATGAATTGATTGGTTAAATCACCTTTGGAACAAAAGATCAAGGAAAACAGTGGATTCTCTACAATGTATTATCTTATGGTTTCTCTTGATGTCTCTTTGGAGCATACATACCAGCTAAAAAGTTATGCTTTGGTGAGACAGCACTATTGGACTCAATATATTAAAATCATTTTGAGTAGAAGTCCAAATATGTATCTTTATGTTTTCTACATAAAGCTATGAACAAAATGTATATATGAAGTAAAATCTATAAAATTACACTTGAAAGATTTGTTTCCATTTATATAAACATAAATACCATATAATCAAGCACATTTAATGTACCAAACAAATCAATCATTCAAAGTTTATTCATGAAAGTATATTTGTTCTCCTTTAATGTGCCATGCTGTGTAAACTGGCAAAAATATTACATACAACTATGTAATTTCTGAAATTTGTGTTGGACATTTAGTCAAGCACATGTCAAATGAACAAAGAGAATCTTATTGCAGCAGTTTCAGAGCAGACACAAACCTAAAAGAGCTTTTGCTGCCCATATGAATCGAGTGGAAATGATGCAGAAAATTGGATAGGTCTGAAATTGATTTCTTGAATTCAATAATGAAAATAAAGATTTTTTTAAAAGATAATTTCACTATAATTTACTAACTATGAGAGTAAACATCAATTCTGATATTTTTTTGCCTTTTCATATATGTGTAACTTGAAGAAGTGGTGAAGACTGAAATTTCTCTTTAATACATATTCCTGATTAGCACATAATTGTCTTCTATAAAATTATTTCTCTGATGGATTCAACAGTGTTATGCAAGATTTACAGATGTAATCAGATCATAAATTGACATCTTAGCCTGTACTGAAATCAAAAGGCTTTGTTTCTGATAAGGAATTTATCCAGTTGCAAATGCAACAAGGCTTTGTGAATACTGGTTGGTGGTCACAGTATGGAGTTCTGCTTTTGTTAATGAACTCAGTAATAAGTAAAAAAATTCATTTCACTAAAAACATTTTTCTTTTGATCAGAAAGAATATGACATTCTTTAGCTGTGATGGAGTCTAATTGTGGTCCAGGAGGTAAACAGTCAGTGGTTGATTAATCTGGTTATCCCACTGTTAAGAATTTTTCATTTTAATATATTTTAAATCTTCTAAATATAAGACTTTTTGTACTGCTGGGAGTAAGCCAGCTTACATAAGTTCTAGCTTAAAGGAATATACAGATTGACACCATAATTTTGCACCAGCTTGTTTAAAAATACTCTTCCTAAAGTATCTAATACCAGTATAGCATGTCTTATTAAAAGCACAGAGCATATAATAATTAGGGGGAAATGGATATTAGCAGTGTCACTTACCACTCTGTTAAATTTAATCTATGTAATGTTTCTCTGTTTCTTTCAGCATAAAGAACGTCACTCCAAAAGTAGGTGATGCTGAAACCCGTAAAGCCATTCGCCGTGCCTTCGATGTGTGGCAGAATGTAACTCCTCTAACATTTGAAGAAGTTCCTTATGTTGAATTAGAAAATGGCAAGAGAGACGTGGATATTACAATCATTTTTGCATCAGGTTTTCATGGAGACAGTTCTCCCTTTGATGGGGAGGGAGGATTTTTAGCTCATGCGTATTTTCCTGGCCCAGGAATTGGGGGAGACACTCATTTTGACTCAGATGAGCCATGGACTTTGGGAAATCCCAATCATGATGGTAAGAGAAGATTTAATTTTAAACAAAATAGATAAGTGGCATGAATTTTCAGCTAACAGAACTACTTCCCTGTTCTCCTGTTCCTAAAGTCACATGGTTTTCTTTCCTTGGTTAACATTACTTTAGAAATATATTTGGTTGATCTGTCTCTTTGAATCCAAGGCAGAAAAGTATCTGCCTGATTGTAATAGTATGAAAACATGTTTTGCTTGAAAAACATTGAATTTTTATTAGGAAACTTCATGATCATTCAAACATTGTACTCATGAATATTTACCTAAACTACTTTACTTTTGCATATTTTAACATGTCAAACTTATGTAGCTTTAGGGGAAATGTGGAATATTTAACAGTGATATAAGAATTACTTCAGCTATCCACCAATTCTGTGGATACTAATGGACATAAAACCTAGTCTTCAGTTTGCATCTTTAATGATGCAATGGCAGAATTTAAAGGCAAATCTTAAAGATGCCATTCCAAGAGTGGAATTGGTGTTTCCCAAAAACTTTTGAATGTCTTTTGGAATTGTTGATTTTAACATGTCAAATCTAATTAAGTAGTACATTCCCCACAGTCAAATGAATGACTGCACAGTGCAGTTTGCACACCTATCATTTACCAAATAAAGACTAAATATACCCTTTATCCTTCACAACTAAAATCTGACCATTGCCAAGCTCTAAGGTGATGTGACTAAATTACTGCTATTATCTGTGAATGCTAATTAAAAGCTAAGTCTAATTTTGCATCTCTCCAAAACAGTATCAAAGAAGAGATTTTCTGTAGACATATTCTGTGTTTGATGCTGTGACAGGTTTTGTTTCCAAGCAGCTTCTGTTGTCCTGGTAGATCCCTCTAAGCCAGTTACATGAAGTTTGAGACATCTCTTCAGAGATACACAAATAGGATGTTTCTGGCATACAAATACTATAGAGATGGCAAGAAGTGGAGAACTGTTGTATTTCAATGTTACACTGAATTTATGAATAATGAGAGGCTTTATCTAATTCCTTTTCTTTCCCCTTCTCACCTGAGATTCTCCAAGAAAAATTCAGAGCTTTTTATGTTGCTGTATTTGTAGCCTGGGGTCTGCAACAAAACCTTAATTTAGCATTTTAGGAGTATAAATATGGTGTTGTGACTATTTCATTGGTGCAATACTTCTGCTGTGCTGGAGTCAGTTGAAGCAAAGGTGTGTGAGGCACTGTAAAGGCCCTCAGTTGTGTAATGGGTTCAAGACACTTCATTATTGTGAAGCAAGGCCTAGATTCTTACTGGAGCAAAAACTGTGGTATTGCACTGCTCATATTTGCCTTCTTCACACATTTAGCTCAAAGGAGCACTGGTGAGAGTCCTCTGTTTGTGCAGTTTGGGTACATAGTCAGTCACAGCATTGTGAGGGTAAATGAAGGTGATTTTATGTGTCCGGTTTTTATGATGGTTAGAGACAGGTACTGCACATAATGTTCAGTGGTTTTGGAGCTATTGCTTGAAGCACTCAGGAAAATCTAAAGGCATGTGTACTTTGAAGTCAGGATGTCAGTTTAATTGGGATAACACTTTTGGAGCAGTTCCACACCTTGTGTGAAAGTGAATGAACTTCTGGCTGTCTCATTCTTCTTTAACTTAAGCAATTTTCATATTGCCTAATGGCACTCATTTCTTTATAGGGCTTTTGAGATTTGTGTTTTGTAGAACAGTTTTCAAAATCTATTGCTTGTATTAATGTATTTTAATATAATGTGATGAAAAAAATCAAGGGAAAGTAAATTGATGCTATCACTAAAACTGTGATTTTTATATATCTTATAACTTTGAACTTTTATAATGAAAAGGTTTGCTATCTATATCACAAATGTTTAAGAGTTATTGGAAATTTTTCTGAAAATTTAATATCTTATGTACTTTGGTGTGCTTATATATACATTTTTTGTGGGACATTCCTGATAAAATGGAATATTAAAAGCAAAAAATGGAAGATTTTTTGAAAATATATGATAATTAATAAAAATATCTTACCAATGCAAGTTCTCTGAAGAATTTTGGCAACTGTTAGTTTCATGGTTGATATGGTAGGAACTGTGTCATAGGTCATAGTTGTTGTCCAGAGAAAACTCCCCATCAGTGTAACCTTAGAAAGGTCAAAAGATGTGCATTTCTTCTGAAAATGCAGGGCACCTGTTTGTCTGATTGGTGGCTCTTAGCTATTAGGTAAGCATGTTTTCCTCATTGTCTTACTAATTAGCTCGTGTCTAGGAATCCTGGAGGATCATGCAGGTTTGGGGTTTTTTTTGGTTTTGTTTGGGTGTTTGGTTGTGGTGGTTGTTGTTGTTGGGTTTTTTGTTGTTGTTGTTTTGGTTTTGTGTTTGTTTTGGGGTTTTTTATTTGTTTTGTTCTGTTGTTGTTTTTTTGTTTGGGATTTTTTTGTTTGTTTGTTTTTTGGGGTTTTTTTATGCCTGGGAAAAATTTCCAGGGGGAAAAAGTAGATGAGCACACTATTTGGGATTGACAGGAAAGAAAGACTTACAGCTCTCTTAGGCTTCCTATCATTTTGAGCTGAGTCTCAGAACACTGAAAAGCAGAAGGTTGAAAAATATATATGTGATCTTAGCTATGAGTCATTTTTCCCAGGCGAGTGTCAATTTTAAGATACATTGTTCCAATAGTCCAATAGACACCTTCTTGTAGTATTATTTGGAATCCAATAGCATGGGAAAAAAATTGATGATTTATTTTTATTTTTAAACTAACTCTCACCCCAAGGGGCTGATTTTCTCTGATTCTTTTTCCAGTATCCCAGAGAGATTCAAAAACACAGAGCAACTTATTTACTTAGCAGCAGGAATGCAAAAATAAGGTCCTTTTGAAAAGTCCTAGCCTCATTCTTCACCTTATACTGTTCTAATGAAAACAGTTTATATGCCATCTACCTCAGAAAAGACAGGGAACTTAATGAAATGCTTTCATAAACTGCTGTCTTTATAAAGTAATTTTCATTCCAAATAAGGAATCATGCACAAAATCAGTATTCTGAGTATAGTTAATTACTACAGCAATTTATTCTGACTACTTAATTGTAGTGTCTTCATACTTCAGGTTTTTGGTTGATTTGGTGGGGTTTTCTTCTTATCACATTTGGTCAATTTTCTTGCATTTTCTTTTGTTTAATCATACTCTAGACTCCAAAGACAGTTGCAATAGAAATACATCATCTCCACAGCTCATTGCTGCTTTCCTTTATTCTCACTTCAATGGTATGTTCTTATCAATCGTGTTCTCTGAAGAGATTTGTGCTTTGACTCCTCCCTCATCCTGAAGAATGAATGAGGCTTTTGTAGGAGTAGAGACTAATGGGCCTGTCACTCAGGAAAAACACTCCTGTCATACAATTTTACACTGGCAGGCTTTCTACAAGGATATATTTCTTTGCTTTCATAATACCCTGTAAGCAGAGTACAGCTGATACCTCAACTCCAGCTGAGCTGTGGAGGGCTTTTCTCTGAATTTCCATCCACAGTGCTGCAGGTGATCCTAGAAATATTGCAAGAAAGAAGGACAATAGACTTAACATCATAGGGAAGCAGTGGAAAAAAGGACAGAATTTGTTTTTCCATGGAATGAGGGAGATATGGAGGATAAAATATGGTGCACATTTCTTTTCTTTTTTTTTTTTATTTCTCTTTTTTTTATTTAATAAGGAAAGGGAATGCTATTCTTTCAACACCTTATACAAAGTGTGTGTATTGGACTGCAGTCTTCCTTCAGTCAGTTCTCATCTTCTATTTTTCCCATTTAGCACAACTACTTTTCAGGTTCCCATGGGAGTAGGCTGTTACACTTACAGTAGACTCCATTTCCTTTATGATCTGCCTATCTAGATTTCAGGTGAGATAAGAGCCTTAGCTTCTTAAATTATTTGGAACAGGATGGTTTCTTCATGCACCTTACGAAGTATCTTGTGCTCCTAGGCAGTCTCAATTAAAACTCCGGTTATTCTGGCAGTGCTTGGCAAATACAGCAGAAGAACAAACAGTGTTCAGGAGCAGCAAATCAAAATGGATGGGATTTTACAGGAAAATATTTCCCAATATGTGCACTTAAAATATAAAAAGGTAAAGGGACAAACAGGAAATGGAAATCATGTTGCATAAGTAGATATCTGAAAAATCATCACTTATTGGGAAAAGATTTAAATCTTTATTTTCTTTTGAACTTAAAAACTGTAAATAAAACAAACAAACAAAAAAGTGAAGAAAAAAGTAAGAGGAAGAAATCTTAATATACCAGCCTTGAAACTAGGGAGGGATTTCCTTGTTCCCATGACTCTAATCCATTTAGGTGATATATATCCCCTCATTATTTTTAAATTTAAAAATTATGGACAATGAATGATGCATCTAAATCCAGAAAGTGACAATGACTTCTTCCTAGGAGCGGCAGTACTTTGGAGATATTGTACTGTCAAAACCCTCAACAAAAATCTTTTTCAAAGTATTTTCTTCAATGGCAATATTTCAAATGACTGTGATGAATTTCAAAGTCACTGCCAGGGAGCATCTCGGATAGGTACTGTCTCTGTAAATTTTCTAGTAGCTTGAAGAAAAATCTTGTCTTACATCCTATTTTTCTGTACCAGAACTGAAAGGGCCATCTTATTAGCCTTATTGCACTGGTTTATCAAAATTGATTTCGCATTTGTCTGTCTACATGTACTTAAGTTAGTTTAAACCTTTTTTAAAGCAGTTATTTTTTTCTGGGATGTTACTGAATACATCTAAACCTATTTAAGGGAGTGTTAAACCAGTTTAAATTGAGAGTGCACTACATTTAACTAGATTAATTTAAGATTGACCTACTTGCAAAAGTGCAGCTTTTTAAAAAAGGGCAAGATTTAGAAGAAATGCTTGGGGAAAACAAGGATTTCTTGGGAGCTTAGTTTTCAAGCACATTAGACATGATATGTAATGTACCTATTACTGGATAAAATGTGACCACAG